TACTGCTACACTAGTATATTATTATTATTATTATTATTATCATTATCATAATCATTATTAATATCATTATTATTGTTCTTGTTAACATTGTTAGTGTTTGGAAACAGTGGGTTATGCAATTATGAAATTGCCCTATGTGACTTCATACTGTAAATCTACAGACCTAACTATCGTTCATAATAGACTTTGTATTAAAGACAATCTATTTTGTCAACATTAACAATTACACAACGTCAATGTTAAATAAATAAATTATTGTCTGAGCAGGGAGATGTAAAAAATATTAATTTTTACATCCATCTCCATGGTCTGAGGAAAATAATCTAGGGTCATTTACTTGATTGAATTTCTCAAGACTATCGACTAATTCAGAACTACTTTATATCACTATATCCACTAAACTTATATTCATCGAGTTGTGTTTTTGTACAGGTATTATAACAGCAAAATTTAACTGAAATATCATTAAATTCCTGTTGATGAATAACAGTATTTTGTATAATGTACCAGCTGTTTATTACTATACAAAACGCAGATACTGCCAGAATATCGATCCGCTGGTAAATTATTTGTTGCAAACAAAAGACTTAATAAATCTGATAAAATATACGATTGATCGAGTGATTTTGTTATATTCTCGCACTGTACAGTACACAGTGATTAATAAATAGTCAAATAGTAAATTATAAATCACGTTGAAGCACATTGCGCGTTATGTATTTAAGTTGTATATAATTAAAATTTATGTACAGTCATATTTTATCAAGACTCCACCCAAGCACGAGGTCATGCTCTTAAGAATGATAGAAAAATGATAATTCTTACTAATATATATATATATATATATATATATATATATACATATACATATATATAGGCCTATATATATATATATATATATATATATATATATATAATGTGTAGAAAATAGTATATAAACCTATAGGCCTGTGGTACAAGTGGTTATAATAACTCCAAAATGGTTGTTCTGTACCTAGCTGAATAATAGAAACACGTGCTCAAATATAGCAACAAATATTAAATTTTATAACTTTAGAGCATTACAATAGGAAGACAGTCTTTATCTTTTTATGAAAACGTGTGCCAATAGTAATTGAACTTTGGCCTCACTATCATTAATAACTGGCCTATATCCGTCAACTAGGGCCCGGGGTAATGTGTCTGTTAAACCAATTCCTCCATGGTAAACAGACTGAGAGCGATTGCCTTAAAAAGATTTTGCATAAATTAATTAGTATTGTTTGAAAATCATTCTTATTGATGGAATAAATAGTTTCAAACATGTACAAAGCCTAAATTAAATTTGAATATAATAAGTTTCAATGACAGAAAATGGATTTTGATTTAAAATGAGCACGACTTACACTTTTTTTTATAAGAACCAGTAAAATTTTGCCCAGGCTCAGTGTTCTTATTTTTTGTCGATTTTAGGCTCAACATTTTTTTTATTTTGTTTTTATTTTTATAATAAAAATACTGTACTGTACTGTATTATAGAGAGGGTATTACATAGTCACACCTACTGCAAATAATGTACAGATAAGATTGGTTATCTATTTAAAAAAAATTAAAACCTCATTTGAAATTTTATTTAAGCCTCAATTTGTTCTTATTTCGTTCTTAATTTTTTAAGCTATTTCAGCCTCAGTGTTCTTATAAAATATGTTCTTATAAAAAAATCTAAAAAGTGTATGTACTTTATATATGTCATGTCCATTTATACGTCTCAATATATGGGTTAAAATAGCAGTATGGTTTAAAACAACAATGACAACATTATTTAAGCTTACTGTAATACTGGAATGTACATTAATATTGTAAACAAAATTAAGAAACACAGGTTATGCACTCTGCCAATGATTTGAACCTATCAAAACCATTAAGATTCGAGAATTCCAATTGAATAAGCCTATCGGATTGGATTTTGTTATAAGTTTGTGGCTTTTTAGATTTTATTGGTGTTTATGAAAATATATGAAAACTCATGAAAACAATAATTTGACTGGTATTGTATTCATTATTAAAGCGCTCTTCGTCAACAACAAAACGTTCTGTGGAATTTATTTATTACTCTTCACCGTTTTATTATATTTACATTCAACAAAATTCATCGGATGTATGATATTGAGTGGGCCTATCTAGGCTTAATATTTACATTGTGGAAAATAAAATTCTTGAAATAGAATAATTCATAGTTTAATAATTTAAAAACTACTGTTGCTGCTAGGGAACATTGACAATGGCCAATAATACTAGCACCGTTTGCTAATAACTAATTTTAGTATATAGGCTAAAGTGGTAGTACCGTACTATTCAATCGCAGTCACTGTAGCACCCTCATACCCGGATGTACAAACATTCCACGACTTAGTTTATTCCATTGCATACCGGTACCTACATAATATTTTATTTATAGGTCTAGAATATTTGACAATTGACATTTATGGACTGACAATAAGCCATATTTTATATACTCTTCTTTTGCTTTGTATTTCCGAGATCCTAAAATGCGGAAGTGGCTATTTTTACCTCACCTAGTCATTGTCGTTTTGCATTGAGTTTTCTGTAGTAACTATTCGGCATTATTATGGGCCTAGCCTACAGTATTTTGGGCCCGGTTTAGATTTTCCGTCATCACGTATCACCTCTCCTTTATGAAGGACACGGATTAAGAGGAAATAAATTAAACAAACAAACAAACAAGAGGCAATCCAGCTTATAAGGTTGTACTGGGTCTAAAAGGCGCTATATAAATTATAAAATATTAAAAATATAATAATAAATATAAACCGAGCATCATTAACCTTTGACAAGTCAACGTAAGTTACATTTTTACACGCAATGCTGACGAATAACTAATTCATATTCATAATTTTTTTTAAAACCCAAACACACATTCACATAATATTGGTGTAGCTTGCGCTAGACTGGGTATTGTGCAATTGAAGGGCTTCACTGACAACACCTATCCTAATAAGTAACCAAAGTAAATACTTCAGGATAATGTAGGATTTAAGAGAGCGATACGATTGTCTCATAGATTATAGGCTATTGATTGCCGTTAAATTTGGAAAAACCCATAAACCACTTACCAAATTGTTAAAAGGATCAAGTAAATTATGAACTGATAATTAGGCACATATCCCTGGTTCACAGACTCAAATAAAAACCTTATATTCAGTGGTGTATCTAGGGGTTAAAAAATGGTGGTTTCCCCAGTCGCCCCTACCCCCATTGAAATTGTCCTGAGTAAGAAAATCACGCTCATCTTAATTTCCGAATCATCGAGACCCCCTCCCAACTGCACCTTCTTCCCCACTCCCCCATTTCAGGAATCCTAGATACGCCACTGCTTATATCGATTAACCGCCAAGCAGGGCTTACATGAACCGTTGATTTTTTTTAATTGCCGTTTTACACCTTCAAATTTTTATTATAAGCAACATTTTGTGTCTCGAAAATCTAAATTTCAATTTGTAGTCCTATACTATATACAATTACAAATGAAGAAGATCGTGTCGTATCGTTTATTACCAATGTGTTAAAAATTACAAATAGGGTTTAGGCCTATTATTAAAGGTCGACTTTATTAGTCTTGCTTTTCCAATTGAAATTTGAATAAAAACATTTACTATTCAAAATTGAATAAGTGTTGGCCTTTATGCCTAAATAAATCTGACCAATGAAGTAAATAATCACAATTTTGAATGTTACTTTACAGTTCAGGTTTAACATATGCAATAGGCCTAAATTTAATGTGATAAACCTATTCTTTTATATTTTTATAGCGTTCTCTTGACAACGGCTAAAATTTAATGATATAAATGGTCTATTATGATATAAATATAGGTCTATTCGTGTACAGAATTTCGATTTGTAGTCCTATACCATACAATTACAAATAAAGAAGATCATATCGTTTATTATCAATGTGTTAAACATTTACAAATAGGGTTTAGGCCTATTATTAAAGGTCGACTTTATAGTCTTACTTTTCATATTGAAATTTAAATAAGAACATTTAATAGGCCCTTTTCAAAATTGAATAAGTATTGGCCTTTATGCCTAAATAAATCTGACCAATGAAGTAAATAATCACAATTTTGAACGTTACTTTATAGTTCAGGTTTAACGTATGCAATAGGCCTAAATTTAACGAGATAGACATATTCTTTTATATCTTTATAGCATTTTCTTGACTACAGCTAAAATTTAATTTTAGTACAAGGTATGATATAAATATAGGCCTAGGTCTATTCGTGTACAGAATTTCGTTTCTATAGCCACGAATTAATGATTAAGACCTGAGTGAATTTATCATTAAGCTTACCCTTGTTTCGATGTGTGTTTTTGTACTGATAGCATATTGTCACTGTTGTATTATGTTTTATGATTTTCGTCACCAGCTGTTTCTTTTCACATAACAATGAATTTGTTCTTGAAAGCTGTATTTTCGGCATATTTATTTTTTACAGCTATGCTCAAGCGCATGCGAAGTCTCAGATGATACTAATGTATTTCTCTTTATGATGTATTTTGATAATCAGATTTTATCACAGCTGTTTTTCTGTGTTGGAATACCATAATATGAAAAAGTCGGAGGTTCAAACTTTCGTTTCTTGGACAACGCACTTTACCTGCATTGCCTCTCACCACACGAGAGTATAAATGGGTACCTGGTTGATTATATTGGGGATGTTAAAAGGCGGCGTTAAGAAATTGGCCACCGTACCACACAATACCGAGGCTTTAGTTAGCCTACGATGGGCTAACTTTGATGTTTTGGTTTTGCCAAACATTAGGAACTTTGTTCCTCCTTGGCTTCTTCCTCTTGTTTTTGTTTTTGAGGAAATAAAAAAAAAATATTATTATTACAACAGCTCCTTCACCTCCAGTAATAATGTGGGACTACCTTTTACCTTAATTTCTAGTTATTAAAGCCGATGTTTCTTTTTCCTTTTTTTTTTTTTTTTGTATAGAAAATCATGAAGCAACTGGATAAGAAGTTGATCGACCAATTTTTTGAGCTAAGGTCAGTTATTCACCAGATGACGTATGCGAAAAATCGACCAATCAGGGACTTGAATATTTCCGATCTTGACGAAGAGGATGCGTTTTATGAGGATGCTGAGATAGTGGAGTTCGATAGCCAAGCTACACCCGCGCATGAGGAGTATTTACCGGCCTTTAGAGGGCGTACTGTATCTATGATGACTCCTCCGTGTGAACGGCGCTTAAAACCCGGGTGGAAACTCAACCGGCGTATGCCATCCTTCACGACAGAAGACGATGTACAACTGGAATTGCTGATGTTATGATTTCAAAAAATTCCGAATTCTCTGGATAATATTTTGAAATTGTGCAAATATTTTTCTATTCAAGAAAATCATGTTTTCTACTCAGGATCGGCTAAACCATCAGTACTACCAACTAATTGCGTTATCGTCTTGCCATTATAATATGTCTATTATCAAAGGTTACGAGACAACGAATCTTCATTGAATATGGGTAGGCCTAATGTAGTTTTATTGGTAAAAACAATAGGCGTATATTGTATTGGAATGTCATGTTTTATTATCAACTCCGTGTGTTTACGCCCTGCACTGGTATTTAAACATGATCTAACATATGCATAAACAAATATGAATAGGCCTATAATAATTTGTAATTTGATATCTATTACGTATTTGTTATTATTATTGTTATTTAATCATCATTTCTATCAAGTACACTTGGGTTTTGATTGTGGCCTAACTCTATGATAATGAATACGGAATAAATGTGCATTAATTAAATTTTAATTAATTAATTATTATATAATGCAATTATTTTAAATTGTCCGCCAATAAAAAGTGGGTTTTTATTTTTAGAGTTGTCTTCCAGACACCACAAACCACTTCCTGAACAAGTAAAAGCTTTATCATGTTGTCTATAGAAGGCAGTGTTATACTACACGCCTGGTTTGAGGGAGTTATGGTGTTGGCAACATTGAGATTTCTGTTTACATCTACATAAAAGAACAGATAATTTCATCAAGATAAGTTGGCCTCTAATTATAAGAAAATAAATAATTAGCATGATGATTAAAAAAAAGTTTATTTGAGGTCTCAGAAAAGTGTTCTTTACTTGAAAAACCATTTGAAGAGGTAATTTTAATTGGAATACTTGTACCTGTACCCTAGGCGTGTGTGTAAGTACGTTGTTGTACGCGCACGGAGCCGAATACACTCATGACTTTCGTATCTAAGATTGTCGGTCGTTAGATACCCTATCGACACATCACTAAATGTTTTGCACGTTACAGAATAGATTTGATATACTGTAAATATATATAATATATTTGTAAAATTGATATAAAAAGGATTTTATTAAATCAAAAGACGTTGAGTTGAAAAAGAACATTGGTTTTAATTGTTTTGATAAAATAAATAGGCCTACATCGTATTGAATACCAAAAGGAAAATGATGATCTTAATAGTTATGATGTATCGATGATGATGAAAAGGAGAAGGAGGAGGTGGGGGATGATGATATGATGATGATGATGATAAAATGATGATGACGACACGATGATGATTAGGCCTATTTGAAGATGACGAGGAAGGTAATGATAATCGTAAGGATTATATAGGTGCACTGATGTTATCTAAATAGGATATTGATTGCCGGTAGCTGTTGATGATGATGATTATTAATGAAATTGATGGGGATCAAGATGGCTTTCTCGTTACACGGAGCACTTTCTTTATATTCTACGCTATCTACCATAAAATTCTCATCATATTTTGGACAATCGACTGCCTGATGTGAAATGACCACTTCAAACAAAGCTACTAGAAACTGTTGTTATGGAAACAAAGAAAGCACGCTTTCCCCATCATACTACGTGCGTTAACAACGCGCAACAGTAGCACCGGAAGCGCACCGTCTCCATGAAGATGAAGATACATCCGGCAAGGCTAATACAAACACTTCCACGATGGTATGTATTTCCTGGAGTTGCAATCTTGAAAGAGTGTAAGTATTTTTAAACTTGTGATTTACTCAATTTATTTTATTTCAAAATATATAAAAATAATGTAATGCGGTATTATTTAACGGCCAACAGTACAGTCCAATTGCTTGGCCTAGACGAATGTTATGCTTTACCGACTCCAATCCTCATGTAGGTGGAATGGTTGCTTGTATACATTCTAGCTAGTAGCTCGGGCTGGAGTGATACATTCCCACGCTGTGAATTTAATTTGTTCCTGTATCCTAAACACTGAATAAAAGAACACGCTTTGCCAACACGTTTGAATTTGCAGACAAAAGATATTTCAGCACCATAGTGGCAATGGTGTCACTAATATATAGTGGTAAAAATCAATTGAAATATTTGACACAACTATCATATTATTTGTGATAATATTATAGTTGATGTTCGTGATAATACCAGTTTCATTAGGACATTGTCTGCCTTGCGGTTAACAGGTAAGTCCTCTGTGGAAATAAGCTTTCAAAATATACTTTTGCATTTCATTGTCTTTAAAGAGTCCAATTGCATGTTGAAGTGTACTTACAGTACATGCATATTGCTTAAGTTTTAATTTTAAGCATCCCAGAACTGATTAGTTTTTAATATCCACAGAGTTGGTGCTAGACTTTTTAGACCAACAAATCATAACGGAGTACATGAAATAAATTTAAAAGGATTTAAGATCTGGGCTGGTAAAAGTACAGAGGCTTGGCAGTTTAGTTTTGTTTTTCTAGTCTGTAAACCAGACGTTCTCTCCATGAAGCTGGTTTATATTCTTAATATTTTTATTACCAATTATTTGTTTGTGTAACGCAAGCGCTCTCCTAGCTCCCGTATTGTTGGGTTTTTACGCTAAGTATACCTCAAAATTTTCGTAATCTCATTATCATCATCAACATCATCAACATTATCATCATCACGACCACCTATCATTAGCATCATAATTATCTTCATCATCATTATCTTAATTGTCGCCGCAATCGTCTTCTTTGTGTAACCTAGACTTTTATGTAAACAATCCTTAACAAATCTGGCTATTTTATTATTTTAAAATGTTATTTCGTTTTCACTATAATTATATTTACTATAGGCTATAAATCAGTTTGTTCTATCATCAATAATATAATAATAGTATAATTTTTATTAATGTTTCTTTTTAATATTTTTATTACTGCTGCTGTTTTATAGATGTTTTTTTTTTTTTTTTTTATTTCTGGATCTGGATTTCTCCGAAAAAAAAACGGATAAGGCCTAGGCCTGTTCACATCACATCAGAGTTTTATAGTATTGACATTATTGTTTTGTTTACATTAGGTTCTCATTGATATTTTATCTCATGTAATTTATAAAACATTACTGAAAAGTGATCTACAATAAGAAATATACATTATATATATATATATTCACAAGACTTATAGGTCATATACAAAGGAAATTTGCCGATATAACATAGGCCTGCATTAAGAACTTCCTCGTATCCTTATCATTCCTCGTCCTTTCCTCTTTTCAATTTTAATTTTTGTTAACTCTTACAGAAGCATATGATTGATGGTGATCATATTGGTTTATGCGGACGACCAAGCTCCAGTTTTTGCCATCACGCGCGCTTTCGAGTCCAACAACTTATCGTCCCTGATAGTCTGCGTGATATGACATCACGGTTGTCCAGGATGACTTCAAATTCGGTTATAACAGCTGGTGGTCTGCTCATAATCGTTGGCGTTGGATTGTATTTTATTTGGAAGAAATTCACAAAAGGAGAGGTGCGATGTAAAAACGAACGGAAAAGTTACGACCGTTCTCGCTAATTGATCATGCCCTATTATGTTGATTAAGCATGCGCAGTAAAATAGGCGCCAACAAGATCGATATTACATTATGAATATAGTATCGATTTGACAAAGCTTACGTTAGAAAAACACTAATAAAATGTACAAAACAATATAATCAGTATTGATATACAAAACATAGGCCTATTCTATGGAAATGGTACAGATACAAATAATAACCTCTCTATTATACAATTAATGTATCATTACAGTATAATATCATTTTTATTTTTTATCAATATTACTATACTATATAAACACGTCCCCTATGTTGGTTGATGATTATCATTTTACTATATATAGGCCTATTTTGCTATACTCATAGGAACGGAAGGAGCTACCGTACAGGAATGAACGGCGAATTTCGTTTGATGTAGTGACTGCTGACCAGCCTGTCCCACAGTTCATCAAACACTGCATTGAAATGATCGAAGAAAATGGTAGGCTTATTTAATAGCATTTGACAATGTCCGATCATTTAGGCCTATCATTTCAATAATATGCTACTTTTGTAATTATATTATATTATATTGGCAGTATACATTTGAATATCGTACTGCAGTAGATTTACTTTATGGTTTGGATAGAAATGTATATTAAATAAAATATACTATTTTATTATTGCAGTTTAATATTGTAGTTTTGTAGTAGTACAATCATCATCATCTTATTTTTATTATTATTACTTTATCATAATTTATCTTTATCATATTCAGCATCATCGCATTATAGAATTAACTGTAATAACTATGAAAATAATTGTACTCATTATAGAAATAGTAACTGAAAAAAAAATCATAATATATTCCAGATCATCCTTTAATTAAAGCAAACGGTGAATAAAATTACCTTTTCAATGTTTTAATGGCCTTTATTCTATTTGTACTAAACTCAATACACATCCTAATGGATTTTATTTGTTTGTACAGGTAGAGAGCATCGTAATATATATCGCGTCCCTGGCAACAAGAAACGCGTCGACAGAATACTGGAAAATATTCAAGGTGAAAATGCTGCGGTATAATGAGATCGATTTTGACATCACACATAATGGTTGAAACGTATTTGTGGCAACTTAAAACACAATTTTTTAACTTTAGATCTATTATAATTACACTTTAATATATATTCATTTTATTCAGTCCAGTGTATCCATTCACTCATTCATTTATATTCACTCATTCCATTAATTTATTCTTTTATTATTCAATAATTCATTCATTCATTCAAACCATATTTAAGTGGGTTATTATTTAGCAAGATAGGTACAGGCGTACTTTTTTTTTACTAAAGTGCCATTAAGTTTACATAATTGTTTACATACGCCTAATTGTTTAATACCTGCATGTAAAAGTCAAGCCATTGCTTCTGTACATGCTGTCATTGTACAAATGTTGTTTTTTGTTGGATAAATTAATTATAATAATTTAATAGAAATCAAAATATGTCACAAGCTAGCCATAACCAATAGGTGGTTTTCACTTAATTTTCCCGTCAAGTAATTCACAGACTTCGGGCGAATTATCAATGTCATCCAAAATATTACTCCCTTTTCCCAGAAGACTCCTCGTTGCTGGAATTGGAAGAAGACGTGGATACTGTCTGCTCTTGTTTGAAAGCATACATTGCCGCTCTATCTAAACCATTGATACCAGCAGACCAACAAGATGAGTTCCTTAAAATATTTACAGGTAAGTTAACGGCAAGACACACTTCACTTGTAGTAAAACTGTTGGAGTTTTTTTTTTAGTTCGGTGGTTTCTTTTCTTTAAAAAACATAATTAAATTGTTGAATTGCTTACTTTGTATAAGTACAATCATACATGTAGTCTTCTATTGAAAAATAGAAGAAGAAAATTCTTACGTAGCCATTAAAAAAGCCATATATAATAACATCTTACATCAATGAACAGGCACCGCCCTATAACTAATTTAATATTCTTTGTAATGACAGTAAACAATATAGGCCCTTTGTTTCATAATATGATACAAGAAATTATTTTTTTAATAAGTTGCAATATTCTTTGCATATAGCCAAGTTTTATATGCCAGTCATTTTTTCCACTCATCACAATTATGTATATTACACTTTTATTATAGTATGGCTATATTATTATTATTATCATCATCATCATTTTCACTATTATTATTATATTATTAATATTAATTTATAAGTAATTAACACTATTATAATAGTCACAGAGAACTTTTAACTAGAAATCATAATGTTTGCAGGTGCAAATCAACACGAAGCGTTGATGAGGATAGTCCCAGATATACCAGTGAAGAACAGGAACGTACTAGCCTCCCTTATGTTGCACCTTAACAGGTAAGAGTGAACCGGTACACTATCACAGCAAATACTGCGTACTGTACTGATTTTAATTGTGCAAAAGGAATCTTTCGCGCCATGCTTAATACTTTTACGTCATTACATAAATGTTCACTAAAGAAGGCGTTCCAATATTCCGAAAATATTCCTAATCGTTGATGGGCTATGTCTGATGGTCTTTAGGTTGTTAAGATATTCGAGCATTGATTCTACAATTATTTGATTTTGTATATACGTACTGTACTTACATATATGTATATTTTCTATCATATTTTACTACAGTAGTTGTTTATCCTATTATTAACTAATAATCAAAACAAAGGAAAAAAATAGTAAATTAATATCACACCATTATTAATATTATTATCATTAGCATCACAATTATCCTTACCATTATCATCATCATCATCATCATCAGTATCATTATTATTTCCATCATTATTGTCATCATCATTATCATTATCATCATCATATCATTTTCATTAACATTAACATTATCATTGTACTTACCATTATCATTAATTATGTTATATTATAACAATACTTTTATTTATAATAATTATAATAACAATTAAAATATCTTAAATTTCAGAATTCAGGATATGAACGCGACAGCATCCAGCTTAAACCTTGCAATATGTTGGTGGCCTTCTTTACTCCATCGGAACTTCACCGCTGTAGAAAATCTGGAACACGAATCACCTCGCTTAATAGAAATGATATCAGCAATGATTTGCCATGCTAACAGTTTCTTTTAAACGTATGAAAAACAACAATTGTCTTAATACGAGTAGGGCCTACACAAACATTTAAAATAAAATTGTATTAAAAAAAAAAGGGTTGAAATTTGTTTTCATTATTTTCATAATATTTTAGTAAGAATCAGTTAAACTTGTATTGCACATACATTCTATTTTCATTATGCTTGAACATACTCTAGGCTTTATTGAATCTTTGTTTATTTAATGTGAATTTCTACGTCGTTTTTATCTGGTTATTTATTTTTAAAGTAACATCGCTTTTTTATATTTTTGGTAAGTTTTTCTTTCGTACTTTCAATAAAAAACACTATACTATTTCATTTAAACTTTAACTTCATCTTTATTTTCACTTGTAATGTAGGACCAGGGAACACTAGTAGGACTGTGTTCTATCTGCTAGAGAGTGTGTGTATTAAAATTAGGGTAGGCCTAGGTGTTATAGAGAGCACAACATAGAAAGCAGACACACAGGAACTGGTTTGTTGAAATACGACTGCGTGTCGAAGACAACTGATTTAAGTAAATTGTGTAAGCTTATCTACCACTAAATAACAATTATGTTTCAATATTTTGGATTATAAAATAATAACAGTGACGAAGCACAATCTAAAAAAACGGCATCGTCGTAAGATGTGATTGTATATAATTTAACTTGGGAAAACATGCTCTACAAACTACACCAGTAGACTTATCTTGTAACTTAAAGTTAATTTAATACACAATGTAATAGAAAAGGTATTAGACACAGTATATAATTTTTTTTTTTAATGGTTTGTAAATAAAAATAAAAGACGTTTTCACATCAAAACTTTCCTTTTAAAATATTCTTCTGCCTCTGATTATTTCTGCGACTATTTTAACCAATGCTTTTGGGTTCAGAATATAAAAAAATGTAAAAAAAAAAAAAAAAAAAAAAAAAAAAAAAAAAATCAGTTCTGTGACTGTTTTACTATTTACAGGTACTACTCGTTATTACCCAGAGGTCTTTATAATATACTATCAAGAAATTTGCTTTGCTCTGGGGAGCACTTGGATCCTAAAGGGATCCGCAACCCGAATCATGTCGGGTTCACTCGGCTCTGCACTAGGGATCGGGTCACCTGCCGAAGGTAAAATAGTGTACCTCTGTAGAATGCCACCTAGTAGTGTAAACACCTCCATCTTTGCAAACTGATCTCCAAGACACTTACGCCTGCCAATCGAAAATGGAAGAAATTGCGGAGGTACGTGGACACTGCCTTTCGTGTCGATGAACCGATCTGCGGGAGGAGATAGCATAGCTTATCAACAGATATTAATATATGGATCTATCTACACATACTTAGATCATATACTGTCTCTTATACCCATCT